GGGGTTTGGGGGGGTGTTTTCATGATGAATACAAATAAATTGTAAATTTTAAATTAACTACTTTAAATTGTTGTTTATTTATAATCCAAACTTTAAATGTAAAGAAATCATAAATTTTTCAATCACAATTTATTCATATGCACTATGGTTTTTTTTTTAAAACAGCCCAAAAATTATAGAGAAAGTTATGAGTGATATAAATACACAATTTTCAAGATGGAGGATCTCCGTTTGCGTTCAATTTGTAGCACAGATTATAAAAGTTTCGCTTGCCTGATAGCTACGCTCATCGGACTACCGTGTTTTGGTTTATTTTACTGTGTGGTAGGGATTCGGTAATTTTTAATCTGATCGATAAAATTTACCGTTTTCTGGATAAACGTGAATTATTCAAATAATAAGCAAAGTAATGCGTTGTTTAGTACTTTACCATTAAAATTGTTTCTTTTATTCTAAAATCAGGAAAGAAGAAAATGCAAACGACATCTGGCAGTTGGCAACGTTTTACTTCTATAGTGCCATCTAGCGGAGGTGGGCAATAACATAACAACATGGTGAGATGGCGTCACTTGAAATATTTTTATTTAATTATTTTTCTTGTAAGATGGCATTTTGTTTCATTTATTATTTTACTTCTATTTAGTATTTTTCAGCAATTTTTTTTTTACATTTCTAAATAATTCCATGTGTAAAAAAATGTAAGTGCTTATATCTTGATTTTCAGTCCGAAATCAATTTGTGTTACCTTCTTTTATGAAATGTGTGCTGAAGAGGTACAATTATTTTTATATCTACCTACACTAAATGCGGAAAAAGAGACGAAAAGGCGATATTGTATTCAGTGGTCATAATAAACTATTCAAGTGGCTTTATAACCAACACATTTAAAAGGTGTTTTCGATAATTCTGTATGTTTATCAAAGTCATAAAAACTCAAGATGGATGTATTTATCACGAAAATGAATGTCGGCTGGCACTGGAGTGTATTCTGATGGACTTATTTAAAGGTAACCATATTTTAGTCAACAGTTTTAAACACTTTGCTGAATTGTCGGTTAAAAATATCCTGCATTTAAAATGCGAACATATTAATACTTCCCACGCAGACTTCACTGAAAAGCTTTCAACATGAGATTGAACGAAGATGAAAGGTAATAATTTTCAATATTTTCATATGCATTTCCGGTCCAATTTCCATTCGATTCGACAAGAAAAGAGTATCATAAGTTAATGAAACCTTGTAAAATACTTATTGTTACTAACTTTTATCTATTTTTGATTCGACAGCCATGAAAGCACCAAGTATAAACTGCGTACGACATATGTGGAATTATGAAAAACAATCTTCATACTATCATCATTGATTTAGGTATGTAATTTTATAAATTTTTTGTGTTAAATTACTAACTAAAAAGACAACGAACACTTTATTTCTTTTTGTTTACAGCCAAAAAGACTGGAGAGTTTAACATAATATGCCACAGTATTAACAATAATAACCAGGGCCGGCGTTAAGGCAGGGCGCGGTGAGACGTCCGCCCAGGGCGTTGAACAGAAAGGGGCGCCACAGGTAACGAATTACACTTATTATTTACAACTGTTAACTCCTTCTAAAAGTATGAAAAAAAACAAAATGTCGTAGGAAACCTTAACTGATAATAACTATATTAAAGTCTTTTAGAATTTGGTAAAACTTTACGTTTCTATATAGAAAATGAGCGATCTAATTTTCACATTTCGAAACATTAGATTCTTGGCCGTCTGATGGGATTTCGCCGAAGTATAAAAATATAATAATGATAGCGATCGAATGGAATTTTGCAACTATTCCACGCCCACTTCGAGTCCTAAACTAATTCCAGATACATATTGTAATGCTAGGATATGTGTCAAAATATATGCTACAGATTAACCTAGAAAATATACGTAAGCTTATAATAGTCATTTAAACCCAACGACATTTTATTCTGAACGAATAATCAAACAGTTTATTTATTGCTGGACAATGATATAAACAGCTGCTTGATAAGTGTGTGAAATCTACACTAAGTGACAAAATAACGAGCCTGATAGCGATACTAAGTCTTGGCTAATGAACGAATTAACGTAGAAGCAAAATGAGCGAAGGGTTTAGTCATTCATAAGATGAAAAACACTCTTTAGAGTATAAATATCAAGACTTCCCGTCAGTATTCAGAAAGCGAGCGACAAATATTCAGCTGAGAACTAAACGTATAAATTGCATAAAATTCATATAACACAAGTATTCTGGTATCGTCTTATAGTGAAGGCATAGTAACACTCTCGCTCGACGCATCTTGGCATTTAGTGCGTTCACGCGGACAGCCGCCATTTTAAATTTTGGCGGGATTTTCGAGTTTTGACAGAAGTAAGTGTGATTTTATTGTTATCAAATCTGGTGCTTTTTTGGTGTATTGTGAGTGTTTTAGTTATATTTCGACAACAATTAAGGTAATTTAATAGATTAATTGATATACAATGATAGTCGTGGGATTCTCTTGTTATAATTTTCTTAAAATCTTTTAGGTTGAAAAAACTTTTACTTATAATGACGTAAATTTTTGTATCATAATAAAATCTAAATAAATCCTGGATTTTAATCGATAAATTGCATATTGGATCTCAGAAATGACTAGACTCATAGTTAGCTTTTCCGTCTTATTTTCCGCCTACGACTAGCGCTTATTTTATAAACAGTCAAACAGGAAAATGTAGGGAAAAATCATGAATAATTGTTATATTAATTTCTGTCATTCTTTTAACGATGGTCGTGAATGTTTTCTTTGAATTTGAATCTTTGTCTTATAGTTATTGAATGCGTTACCATGCGGTGTAATTAAAATTAGGTTATTTTTGTAATAGTTAAAATTTTCATCATAAACGTCGATCAAATTATAATAAGTCTTAATCGAATTATTATTTGTTTCTATAATATTATAATAGTTGCATATGTTATTCTTACTAATATTATAAATGCGAAAGTTTAGATTGATGAATGGATAGATGTTTGTTAAAAGATATATCCATAACGGCTGCATGGATGACGCTAAAATTTGGCATAGATGTAGATCATAGTCGGGAAGAACATATAGCCTATTCGTTAATATTTTTTTTAATTACACACAGACGGAGTCGCGAGCCACAGTTATATCGTAGCCGTGGTTAGTTCAGATGTTAATATCACGTATTATTAGGTCGATATCCTTCCGTCATCGTATAATGTTAGATTCAACCCACATGATAGTATGACGTGTGGTAGTATTTTATAAAATAAATTCAACAAAAAAAAGTAAACGAATTTTTTATTATAATTATTATAAACTTTAACGGTGTAATAAAAGAACAGCACTGGCATATAAACAATGTTTCAGATGAGTTATTTTTAATAGATTAAGATAATATTTCATGAGATAAATTTTTTCTTCGATGATATTTTTTAAAGTCCACTCACACCGATTTGGGATTGATATATATAGAACTTGCACGAGACTGTGTGACTAAACTCCAGTTATTTGATACACAATTTTAAATATCTTGTTTTTTTATTAAAATTGTTTTGAGAATAAGACGTATGGACTTATACTGAAAGTTGATGGGCACAGAAACAAGTAATGAGATTGTATGTGGATAGCTAAAGAGAGGATGGATTTTGAAAAGGATATGCTTAAGAAGAGAGTGATTTCAGATCTGTTGGCTGAAAGAGATGAGTGAAAGAGTACTTAACTTTCATGACTATCACCCCTAAGAAATAAACGGTTGTATGTTTTGATTAGGTTGGCTTAGAAGTTTTATATTTTCACAGCACATACCGACCGCAGACTTATACATTTGATATAAATTCCAGTTTGATACCTTCACCCGTTTTTGAGGAAAAAGGTCTTAACAGAGGGACGAACGGACAACAAAGTGATCCTATAAGGGTTCCGTTTTTTTCCTATGAGGTACGGAAC